CWYCTCTCTGAGGGGACTGAAGCAGAGAGAAAGAAGGCAGGTCAAAGGTCCTACTGCAGAYGACTACATGCTACTAATACTAGTACTACTACTAGATACAATTATTCTGTGCATGGCCTCAAAATTGTCACAAGTGAAGAAATTCCAAGCTCCCATCTATACCACATCAACTCTGTGGCACCTCTTTCAGTTGCCCTCCTAAGGATTATGCTGTGCTTTTAACGTCAATCAACTTTTTTCTCTTAGTACATTGAAACAGACTTAGAAAAGGTACTGCTAAAAAGGTATACGCAATGTAGTATTGGTAGCGTCAAAAGCTAAAAAATGCAATTACAGCATCTGTTCATCTGGAGCGCCAGGGTATCTGATACGACACTGTTTTAATTATAGAAATTTACCAACAAAATTTATCCTGGCAAGGAATTCCCCTAATCTTGACATCCTCCTTTTTTATCGTGGGCGGTTTATGTCAGGCAAAGTACAAATACAAAGCTATACAACCTATTTCAGGCAAAGTGTAAAGACAAAGCTATACATCGAAATGAACTGAGGGCGACCCAATAGCGTTTTCTTCATAGCCCTTGATCAAATTTGCCATTTTATTGCCGTCTGAAACTGTTCAACGAACAAGTAACTCCAGGAAGTCGCTTCACTGAGTCATTACCCATCCAACAATCATTGAAGTGATTGGAACAACATAAGGAACGTATCGTCGCGGTTGAATACCAAGTATCATGCCCTTTGACTCTTGGTTCGGTAAATTCTCCTCACTTCCATCAACAGTATTTTCCCTTTGCATTCCAATACCCGCCTTTGATTGAATGGWGTGATCTGTGCAAGAATTCTCAAGATTCCATTCGAGTTGTATTGGAGGTTTCATCTCTGAGGACAACGAGGGGGTTTCAAATGCGGTRACGCTGCTGTTCGCAAGGATATCTCCATTACTAGTATTGTAGACATCGACAATATCGTTATTGCCATYGTCACTTCCGAGATCATTACTTGACGAAGACGAACTATCTGGTAGCTGTGCTATGATTTCTGCCATCTCCTTTGTTCTGCGGATCAAATCATCTGCGGCCTCGATTTGAGTGTGGGCCTGTTGTTTTGTAGTTTCACAATTGGAAATTACCGTCGAAGCCACCCGACTGCCCTTACCACTTGTAGAGTCAAATGTTGTTTCRGTGTGATTGGCGCCGGCATCGTTTTGACTCTGAGTGCTTGCACAGCATTCAGCGGAGGTAGACGACAGCATTGCTAGCACTTCCTTTTCCTCGTCGCGGTAGTTGTCTGAAGTCTCGACTGGAGWTCGGGATCGTTGTTCGTTTTTTGGGGGCGACAACATCGACAAAACCTCCTCTTCTTTCTCGCGAAATTCAGCATCGACTTCCTCAACGGTTTTGATGTCACATAGTAACGACTTSTCGCCCTCTAATGCGCCATCGGCGATGGGAAGATATTGAGGTAGCTTTCTTCTCTCGAAGTGTGGAGTAGTGATTGATGAAATTACTGACGACTCGTCATCGTCCGTGATCACGATTTTGATATCTCTYGGAGGAACATTAGCGCATTCGCTGTTTTCATTTRTGTCTCGCTTGGATATCGATCTCGTAACAGACCYTACCGCAGAAGAGAAAAAACTACGGGGTGATTTCTTTGTGAGGGATGAAGTCCTCGGCGTGGCTACTTTACGCSCTCGTTGAATAGGGGTGTAATAATCCTTCACAACAACGGACTCGTCGTCGTTGATGATAAGTTTCTCGTGCAATGGTTCTTCATCAACACCTATGAAGCTATTACAATTCGTGTCGTAAAGCTGCTCCGGACMATCGCCACCACTATRATTTGCATCGTCGTTCGCGGCGTCATYCTCAAAGTCGTCGACAATAAAGGCATTATCTGGCATAGATTGGCTCTGTTGATTCGTCTTTTTTAGCCTTTCCTCTCCTTCGTATTTTTTGTACCAGTTCACAATCTCTTCCATTTCCGTGGCCGTTCTTTCGGCAAAGGAAGCTTGCATCTTCGACCTATTGATGGCTGCTGTAGATAACGRWAGGCCTTGTTTCGCTTTCTTTGCGGATAGAGAAGAAGAGGAAGACAACTGATTTGCGATTTTTCCTCCCTTCGATGTGAAACCATGAGATGATGCAGTCTGCATTCCACTGAAAGAGGCGTCCTTTCGATTCCCAAGAACTACTTCTTCACAGGTATACTCGGTCTCTTTGCTTGTCATATTGTTGCTCGTGTTAGTGTGAAAAATCATTGGTTATTCGTTCGTCCTGGCATCACCCTCAAGTAGAAMTGAGTAATGTTAGCTCTAGATAGAGTTTGAAGTTCTTAAGATGAGTCGAACAGAGTTGTCTCCCRACAAGATACTTGTAAATAACAATATCCTTAGTACCAGAAGCAGAAGTGTTTGAGATRCAGTAATCTMATGCATGATGCCACACAAAAAATCACAACATGGTGCACTTAGATTCTGAATCATCATCGGTTGAGAGAGCCTCGATGTCAGCCGTAAGGATGCAGGTGAATTTGAATTCCATTTCTTGCTGGTTTGCTAAGTAAGTTCGGCGACTGATTAGTTTTCTATTTTTAACAAAGTTTGGTCGAAGTGATCAAAGATGTTAAAACAAAATACACTGAGCATTACTGTATTTCTCAACTGGGCCCTACCGTACCGTACGTACTGTACTGTAATAGTGGTAGTAGCGTGCGTCATTTTTTTGTACTGAAAATCGAAAAACCATTCGGTTCTTGGTTTACGATGCGATGCGAGCGCGAAAGACCCTCTTACTATTCATTCCCATCAATGCGTCAGCTTCTACTCGTAGTCGTACTCGTTCTGTGATTGGATTCCCGTCTCTGTCGATAAATCATCTACAACATGGAATAGTCAAGGAAAATCTATATTGCGTCAAACGGATTATATTCGATGCCAAGGTTAAGTGTCTGAACTATGGTCCTATCGCATTATTACAGCCACAATAAGGAAGACGAGGTCTTTTCTTCATCCCGGTCAATCGTTTCTCTCTCTTCAAATTTCCGGAACTAGGAAAACCATTCGTATGCACCGCCCATATAGTTTACCAACTGTGTGTAGCCGGCTTGAGCCGCGTAAGCGCAGGCATTTTTACTCCGGATTCCTGCCGCACAAGTGAACACTAGTGTCTCGTCTGCCGTGGGCTTCGGAAAACCGCAGATTCTTTCAAAATCGTCTTCGTCCATCTCAAAGACTCCCATATTTCCCACAATAGAGAGGGGTAGCGTATGAGTGTTTGGGCTCACTTTGCCACTAGCGGCGACCTCGTTTTCCTCTAYTCCAAAAATCATTAGGCATTTTTGTTACAGAGTTGTCAAGAGTGAGTACATGGCGTCCGAATCGAGCAACATGAAATRAAAATGGTTCTGAAATCACTTTCTTTCCTCATATCATGSACTTACCTCGAACATCCATTACGACGTAACCCGAAGCCTCACGTCCTCCTTTTTCATAATCTTCAATTATTTCTTCCATTTGCTAAATTATTCAAAATGTAACACAAACGTAATTGTAATGATTACCATAAGAAAACAAAAATGATTCGATCAGAAACAAAAATGAACAAGTAAAAAAAGATGCAATTAGCAAAGATTCTTGAGTATCATCACGGTCGCTTTCGTTAATAACTGCGATTGCTACATTTCGCTTATACCCCTTCATCAGAAAATAAACATACCTCCTTGTCGACATTCGTCAATTGTGGTCCATTGATGCTTGAGAACAATCTAGAATCCTTYCTATTATTCCTAGAACCAGCAATRTGCGGCGAGACTTGATTATTCCCACCTGTATTGCCCATGGTATGAAAATAATTCGTCGATCTGATAGAGGGGGCAGGGGCGAATGCTTCAGACAAGTCGATGTAYCGACAAACACTTCCGCTAAGAAAAGCCTGCGCACCCAAAAACGCTAGTTTGTTCCCAGTAGTTGACGATGCCCTGCGGAGAAACTTCATGATTGACAAGAAGGTTCCAAACAATAACACTAAGTGCGTTTTTCATCCGTCGGAAAATGATTRTGTTGAGCAAAGCTTTGGTTACGGCATGCAAATGGATGCACTTCCTGACTATGCSTACTCGTACCGGTACGMGGTAGGAAGGCAAATGTGTTGCCGGAAAGTGAAATCGGTTATGAGTACATTCAAAACGCTCAGTTTTTGCTAGTCAGAAAAAAAACACCAGCACTAGATTTGTCTCGCCCTCCTAACAAAGCTATTAGGACATTTTCCCACCAACACATATACTGAAATAACTCTGTCATGATAAGAAAGAGGGGATCTGGTGGAAGTCTCAGATCAATCAGCCAAGGGGTTTTTTTAAAGAGCCCTCAGTATCCCCAAGGTCTGTAGCATCCTACGTACAAATTACTAGTAGTAGTACTAGAATTAGTAGTAGTACCAAATATTTCGATATAAATACTTTTTAAAAAAAATTGAGACAGGTAGAAGTTCTTGGGAAGGCCTTTGTAGAAATCAGTACCGCATTTTTTGGCAGGGTTGGGGTTGCCTGAGTCTTCCACCCCCTGGAAATTTTCTTACTTGTTGTACCATCACCAGTATGATATTTGTTCTACATGTTGCATGCCCCTGTAAATTATGACCCTTTAGTAGCACTAGATTGTACCTGCTAGGAGTAGCATGAAACTTATTTCTTAGCTCTACTTCCTACACCTGTGACTGGTTCAATCCATACTATGTACTGCTGCACTTTTCTGTCCTCTTATTCACTCTAATTTGTCCTCACCACTTCTCTGTGGCACTGTAGAATTCTGTGATCCCATGCCATTCCATACTTGGAATGGGTTTGACAACTGCATTTCAGTCCATATGTTGTGAAGCTCAATATTGTGTGCTGTGGCTGACCTACATCCCATATGATGCCATGATATTAATGGAGGATTGAGCTTCCATTATTAGCTTTAAACACCTTAACATGGTGAACAAAGCTTTTGATGAACAGAAAAGATGCTCTGCTCATTACTTCCTTCCCTGTTTTGTAATTTCACAAGGAAGACAAAACTTCTTTTTGTCTTCCCTTTTTGTTCACAAACAGAACATGTTGCTTGATGTTGTAGCACCACCATTTGTTATTGTCAAATTAGTGCCTAGTAAGATAAAACCATCACTTCCATTCATGATTCCTCCATTGATAGGTGGTAAATTGATGGCAGCCAATATTAAATAATACTTGARCAACAATATTTAACCACTTCTCTAGTGACCAATAGTGACTAAATAGGAACATTCTTCTTAACACTTGTTGTACAAGCAATGGTGTGATAAGCTACTACTTTGTCTGGGCTGTCTGATAATCTTGCAAGTTGCTTCACTGAACGGCTTGATGCCAGCACTTTTTTGCCAGAGAAATATCCCAAATCCCTTCACCCTGCTATCCATTTCCAAACTGAGATTGGCTGGCACCATCTGATGCTTGCTGGTCTACTATCATGTCAATGGATTACTGATCCTAACCTTCATTTCAGTTTTTAGTACTCTCCACCAAGTGTGTTGGGGAGGTATGATTTAGTGGAATTCTTCCACAACTCCTATGTCAATGTGAGAACAATGCAACAAAGACCTTCACAGTCAGAGCCTTTCTAAAAAGCAGGAGCTTCAACAAAGATGGTTGACAAACACACACACACACACACACACACACACACACAAATTTATAACCAAAGGGTCCTGAAGCCTTCTTGTCTCAAGCTATCATTATTTTGCTGTCCTACTAGTACCTCTGCCCAAGTGTATGAGAAAACAATCAATGCAAGTTTCTACTCCATCTCTCT